TTGTCCTTCAGCTTCTCCTCGTTCAAGGTGTTGCGCATGGTGAAGCAGTAGTTCTCCAGGCCGTTCTTCGCCTCGATTTTCAGCTTGTTCGCCTCGTCTTCGGCACGGAACTTCTCCTTAGTACTCGCTGCCTCCCTTGCGAAAATCTCTGGTTCAAAAACCCGAGAGAGCAGCCTCATCACATCGATGAGTCATAAAGCCTTGCACACAAGTCGCTGCTTCCTGCACCATGCGGTCGATCTCGGACTGCGACAGGCGACCCTTCTCCTGACTCGGTGCGATTCTTTCGGTTCGTTTGTTCTGAGGGACTCAGGCATGCGAAATCGAACCGAAGACCGCAAAGTTGAAAACGACGCCTTGCAAATGCACTCCAAGACTCGTTGGTGATGGTAATCTGATTGGACTTGCCGGTGGACTTGTCCGAGGCGCTCACGTTCAGAATGCCGTTGGCATCGATGTCGTAGGTCACCTCGATCTGTGGCACGCCACGCGGGGCGGGCGGAATGCCGTCCAAGTGGAACTTGCCGAGCAAGTTGTTGTCTTTCGTCATGGCACGCTCGCCCTCGAAGACCTGGATCAACACACCCGGCTGGTTGTCGGCATAGGTGGTGAAGGTCTGTGCCTGTGCAGACCACCCAACAAGGTTCATGACATCCTGGGGAGGATTCCTAGTCCTAGCGTTTGACGAAATTACTGATGGCACTTAGCCAAAACGATCGCCCGTCCCTTCACATGGTACGCACGCCAGATGTGAGGGGCTATAATAAGTCAGTGCAACTTACGGGAAAGCTGCAGACGACTCTTGAGAAAAGTGGAGGCCAGCACAGGCTTCGAACTTGGATTCTAGAAAACCGGCGCAGGCCTTTTTCGTTGGAATTGTTGTGTTTCGCTCGATGAGCTTGGTCATGACGCCACCGGCGGTCTCCAGACCCATGGACAAAGGCGTCACATCCAAAAGCAGAAGGTCCTGCACCTGGGACGAACCCTCGCCCGTCAGAATGGCAGCCTGCACTGCGGCACCGTAGGCCACTGCCTCATCAGGGTTGATGGACCTGTTCGGCTCCTTGCCGTTGAAGAACTCCTGAATCATGGACTGCACCTTGGGGATGCGCGTGGAGCCACCGACCAGCACCACATCATGCACACTCTTCTTGTCGATGCCAGAATCCTTCAGGCACTTCTCCACCGGACCCATGGAGTTGCGGAAGTAGTCCATGCACAACTCCTCGAAACGAGCACGGGACAAAGAGCAGGAGTAGTCGATGCCTTCAAAGAGCGAGTCGATCTCGATGGTGGCCTGCGTGGAGGAAGACAGCGTGCGCTTGGCCCGCTCGCACTGCGTCCGCAGACGTCGGATGGCGCGCTGGTTGCCAGCCATGTCCTTGCCGCGGTTCTTGCGCCTCGGGTGCCAGGTCATCGCAACTGAGGCAGAGCGGAACGTGCAACAGTCGCTGCGTGCCCTGCCATGTGAACACATCACAGCCGGAGCGGCTTGAAGTCCTGGATGCAGAAGTCCACTACGCGATTGTCGAAGTCCTCACCGCCCAAGTGGGTGTCGCCGGCAGTGGCCTCCGTTTCAACAGGCGACATCTCGCAGCCTGACTCCGAAAGCCTTCAACGCCCTGAAGCCGAAAGCCCGAGCCATCAGCACCGCCCGCAAGGCACCTTCACCTCGAAAATTCCATCCTCGATGGTCAATAGCGAGACATCGAAAGTGCCGCCACCCATATCCTTTGGAGCTGGAGAGGTTTCAAGACTCCGCTACAAAAGTC